TTTAGCTACAGGCCTCCGCAGTTGTTCACCTTGGATATAAAGAGGATGAAAAATCATTTCACAATGTATCTGTACATCAACGCCCTACAATGTACACTTTAAATGTCTTCAGTTTTGTCATTTATCCCTTAGCAAAGCTGAAAAAAATGAGAACATGATGTTCAAGTCTCTTGCATTGAAGTGATGCCATTCTCTGTGCAAAGATCTCCCATGCAGGAGGAAAGACAACTTAGCTATAACTTGACCTCAACTAAAATAAAGCATTTGACCAGAATCAGAACGTATACTTCTGCAGTCAAGCTCTCGATCTATTCTTTAAAGGCACCTGCGATACCATATCCCTCTTGATCTAAGTGGGCATTAGCAACCCTGGGAAGCCACTCTGGTAAAATGTAAGAGGAGGGGGTGGGATCTGTGATCAAAGAGCGATCCAGAGATGATCCTGTCCAGAGCAGGGTGGCCGAGAAAAGACGGGCATGCTGCTGCCATGCGCCTGTGTTTAGTAGAGAAGTTAGACTTCCATGGGGTGACTGCTGGGCTGCAAGAGCCAGACCCGGAGTTAAGGAAGGACTATGTTCATGAATTGTCTCATTCAGGTTCCACTGACTTGAGTCTCTGTCCCCAGAAGGAGGGTCATGGGAAGGAGGGAGGGTGTATGAAGAGAGGTTCTTAGAAGGATAGAGCAGTCACAGGCCTTTCACTCCAGAACTCAAGCAGAGCAAGTGCAGGGCCCATAGAGTGACAAGTGCTATTTTGGACTGGAGTGAGGATGCAGGGAAGGGTTCTACCTGGTCATCTGTCCTGTCGGAAGGCTCAATAAAAGAACAAAATTGAGAGCATGTTTCTGCAGAAGTGATTTTCTGTAGGGTCAATCAAGTTCTGAAAACAACTTCAGGTGAATTGTTCCTACCCAGCTACTCCCCCCAAATCTCCAACACATGCTACTTGTATGAAGGGCAGGGCTTTCCTGAACAAGATGGCCGCATAGGTGAACGCCCGTACTCACCACCACCCTCAACCACATCAAAATTACAACTAAAATACAGAACCACCATCATCCAGAACCGCCGGAAGCTGGCTGAATGGAAGTCCTACAACTAGAGAAGGAAGGAAGAAAGCGCACTGAGACTGGTAGGAGGCGCGGAACAGACTGGACTGGGCCAGCACCCACGTGAGCTGCTTTCTAAATCCAGAGGGAGGTGGTCTCTGCGGAGGCCGCCTGGAGGAGCAAGGGGGCCCAGCCTCACACCAACCCCAGCCCAGGATCCCAGAACTGGGAAGGGAAGCCTCTAGGGGCAATAAGAACTACTGGCTGTAAAAACCAGTGCGGATTGAGACTCAGTGACACAGAGGCTGCTGCGAGTTAACCCTTGGCTATCATACAATTCCCCCCAAAAAACCAGGCCTGTGTTTTCCTTACTAAGAGCTTGATTAAATGTGTGCTTTTCCTGTCACTATATGAATGGCAGGCAAGGTAAATGGGAGCAAATATTCAAAAGATAGAAAAACTGGGTTGAAAAAAACAAACAAAAGAACCCCACCCCCCAAGCCTCCAAGCCAGTGTCTCTGGTCAACCTACAAAGTAATCTTTTTGGCAGGAAAGCCACTGTTCATACCTGTACCTACGTAAGCCCAGGGCTGCCGTCTGATTCTCCTGGGCAGGGGAGGGCTGGTTTCAAGTCAGGATGAATAGATAAACCTTCTAGAAAAAGGATAAGAATTCTTTGTTTTTACACCTTCTGATATTTAGACACAAGTGCCATAGAAACGCTAACTGCTGGCCCTGGCCAGTTTGGCTCAGTGGATAGAGCATCGGCCTGAGGACCAGAGGGTCCTAGGTTTGATTCCGGTCAAGGGCACGTACCTTGGTTGCAGGCTCCTCCCCTGCCCGGGCCCTGGTCGGGGCTCCTGTGGGAGGCAACCAATCAATGTGTTTCTCTCACATCGATGTTTCTTTCTATCTTTCCCTCTCTCTTCCACTGTCCCTAAAAACCAAAGAAAAAAATATCCTTGGGCGAGGGTAAACCAAAGAAAAAAGAAAGAAATGCTAACTGCTGGAGGGCTGGGCCTCATGAACCATCTGTAATCCTCGGCAGGGGAGGACCCATCCTCTCTCTACTGCAATTTCCCCCTCCGGATACAGTGTGCTTTAGTGCCCACTCTTTAGGAAGTTGGTTTGACGGTCACGGTGAGGCTCACAGGCATTAATCAGCCCACCTTTCCCAGCCCACTGATACCATCGGATCTGACTCCCGGCCTAGGAGATAAAAGACGAAGGACCGTGATGGGAGACGAACAGCCACCCAGCAGCTGAGTCTGCAGTGTGGGCCGCTCTCCTGCCCGCCAGCCAGCTCAGTGAGGGATGGCGGCGCGTCCCCGAGTCCGTATTTCTCATGGCAGGAGTCCGGCCCCACCAAATATTAATAGGAGAGGGTGACAGGCCATCTGTTGTGTTTGCAAAAGGGGAGCAGAGGAATATTTCAAGGGTGGCAGAAAATGCTGAGGAGGGATGAAATCTTGTACAAGAATCTTTCTAGTCTATCCAGAGCGGGGAGGCAAGACAGCTCGGCACGTCCCTTAAAGCGACGCTCCCTGTCAGTGAGATCCAGGCACCTGTTCAAATCTCGCTTGGTATTCCTGAGACAAAGTGAGCAGAACTTGGGGGGGGTGCTCTGAGAAAATAGATAGTTCGCTGTTCTGTGGGAGACTAGCAAAGGAGGAGGAAGGGGGTGCAGGGGAGACACAGATGAATGAGAAAAAAGCCCAAGATGGCATGCTTGCATGCCCAAGCCTTTCCCCTTTCTTTCCCCCCAGGGATGCATCTCCTAAATGCTGAGGGACCCATGAGGCTTGCAACCAGGGCAGCAATGGTCAGGGACAATTCATTCCCAGCAAACCGCCTAACCCTGTCCCCAAGATCCCTTCTCTTTTCTCACTTCTCCATCAGCCTAGGCTCATTTCCCCAACCCTTTCTTGTTTCACTGTCCCCAAACTTTAATAAACATCCTCTAAAATTAAACAAGAAAGCAAATGCCCAAGATACAATATTTCTCTAAATACTCCTTAGTTGTACAAAAGCATCCAACAGTTACCCTGAAAACCACACTAACCCGAATGTTGGAATGTTCCAGATGCCCACAATCTACCACGTCTGGCCCTTCTCCTTGCTTTGCCTCCACTGAGAAGCGTGAGGGTTGAGTGTATCCCGCGAGTCAGAGTGGAGACAGGCAGAGAGACCCTTGTTCCCCCAGGCACCGTAGACAGCTGTGCACAGCAGACAGCTGCCGGGAGCGAGGCAGGGCGGCTCTGTCTCAGCAGGTGCAGCCTGACAATGGAGGCCCTGCTCGGGTCCCAGCTCAGCGGCCTGGTAGCGATGTGCTTGCTTCTGGTCGGCTTTGTTCCCGTCTTTGGTGTAGACAATGCTCCCTCCATCAGCTAAGTGCACCTTCCGTCAAACACTAACTCCCTAGCAACCACCACCTGGTTTAAAAGCTCCCGTTCCCCCTAAGTGATCAGAATGAGCTTAGTCGCTTCTAGAAGCACATCTTGGAGCAGTAGCATCTTAGCTCCGGTCTCACGCTTCCCTTTGTCCCTCCATGCTAGGTACTGTCTGATGCCCTCTCTGTCAGATCTGTGCACGTGCCTCTCACAGAGGCGCCATACGTTAAACCTGAACGTTTCCATTGAGTTCACTTTTCCTCCCTATTCCATTCTCCCCTTTGTGGCTCATCTCCAAGGCACCCTGCATGGCTACGGTGAATAATGCAGCCCCCAAGTTTTTCATGATAAAAGTATTTTTCTTTATCGGTCAGCTTCCCAGATAATCCATTTCCTCCCACCTCTTCCCCAGCCCTGCAAGCCAAATGCCCTCCTCCAATGATTGCACAGCTGGATGTGAATGGACGCACAGGCTGGTGTGGGTGAGGGGGCATGAGAAAGGCCAGGGGGTGGGAGTGCAGGGGGAGAAAGCCATTCCCCTCCTTGTCTCCACAGCTGCCTTCCTGCCGGGCTAGCTTGTGGTAGGCAGTGCCCTCCGGAGGGGACAGCAGCATACACAGCTGCATTCTCCCACTCAGACCTCGGCCACTTCTGCCCGAAGGCTTGGCCACAGTCCTCATGGATGATGCTCGCTAGGCTAGTGGACCTTGAGAGAATGCGAAGGGCTGTACAAACAGAGGCAAGAGATGCTGGAGTCTGACACCTGAACAGGCTCTAAGTGGAGGGTGATGAAGGGGGCTGGGAAGAAGGGCTGGAGAAATGAGTTAATGACCCCCTAGGGTACACTGAGAGATGCCCTTGCCTTTCAGCTTTAATGATTCAAACACACCGCCCAGTTGTCAAAGACTTTTCACTTCGCGCCCTCAGTTGAATGGGAGAACAACTCTAAGGTACATAAGGCAGATCAATTCCCATTTGTAGAAGAGGAAACTGAGTCTCAGCAACGTTTAGTGACTTGTCCCAGAGCACAGAACTGCTAAAAGCCAGGCCTTGAACTAGATCTCAAGGGCATCCCACTCCAGACAACTGCATGCTGACCAGCGAGCATGTTGTGCCATGCCCTGCCCACCCCTCCCACCTCCCCTGCTCCCAAGAACCTCCCTGGGAACCAGGTGATGCATTTTAGGGAATATTTGAACCTTCCGGTACCTGGTATTTGCCACTTTGCTGAGCGTCCATCAATAGGACCCGAGCTATGAAAACTGCTCAGTGGGTCGCAGGTGTCTTCCTGTTGGTCCTGACTCAGTCCCTCAAACTTGTGAGTCTCTGGGCCTGGAGATGCTAATAATTTTTTTTTCCTTTCCCCCCACCAGCCCTACTGGAGAAGTGTGGGCAAGGGTTTCACCAACTCCCAGTAACCACCTTAGCTTCCCCTGCCATCTTCTAAGCCACTTGACACGTAGGAGCCTCAGGTAACACACAGAGGGGCAGGGGAAGGGCGCGGGGGAGATGGGGACAGGGAGGGGGAGGGGGAGAAACCATAAAGCAAGGGGGATACTGACCTTGCAACAAAGTTGAGCTTGTGGGCTCATTTAGTTCTAAATCGGGTGAGGGACATACAGGAGAGAAAAATGAAAACAAACACATATATTATATACAGTAGCTATATATTGGCCATATATAGTTTGTATACTGCCTTTCACAAACATCTCTGGAGCAATGGATAAATAAAGGAAGACACAACAACCAAGGTGGTGGGACACAATGCAGCGTGGGGGACACAAACGTGAGTGCTCTGTGCTTCCGAACTTGGACGTGAAGGCTGGGAAGTGAGGGGGCTGGAGGCCGGCACGTTGTCCAGTGCACTGGACAGACGCTTCCACCCTTAGCTTGTGCTGAGCTGGGTACTGATATGGTAACAAAGGACTAGCGTTTTTGTGTGTGTGTTTTTCTAGATGAGATTTCTGTCCCCCACCCCCATCCCATTGTTTCACTTTGGAAAACCAAGTCCAGAAATTTCTGTTCCCAAGGCTCCCGGGCAGGAAGGAGGTCCCCCAGGAGTCTTAGGGGCCAGGTGCTCAGAACCCTATTGGTTCTGGGCCCAGATAGGAAGGGCCACCCCTGCCCCCATTTGGGTTAGATTCCGGCCAAGGGGGGATTCTCCCAGCACCAGCCTTCCTCACTTTCCAACCTTCGGGTCAGGTGGATGGGTGTGCTTAGGTGGTAACGTAGCTGGCTTGTTGTGATGCTATGGAAGCGTGAACCTCCTCACCAAGTCTGTGCATTCCCATAAAGTAAAGGCTGCCTTAGAACTTGCTGGATGGCTGTGAGCTGACGGGGTTTTCCAAGGATAGAAAATGACATGGAAACCCTTCTAATCGGGTAATATTTGTCCAAAGGCCTTGGTGATGGTGGCCTCAGTAATGAGCTCAGGGGCTGCAGGGGCTGCCCGAGGGGCCTGGAAACAGTCACTGGCTCAGGGATGGAGTGTCCCGATTTCCAGGGAACCGTGTGTCCCCTGCAGCATTTGTGTGGTGGGCTCCTCCGAAACCGTCTCTCTTTAGAGACTAAAATACTGGCGTCTGCTTGATTCAATGGGGAAGATGCTACAGACTTTCCTCCCTCGAGGTTTAGCCTGTAAAGGCCCCGAGACCTCTTGCATTGAAGAGCAACCCGTGTGTGCTCCATGCATCGGTGCTTGACCCAGATTCTCTGCACGTGTGTCAATACCTGCTACCATTTTTAATGTGTTCTTCAAAGAGAACCCTGGGCTGCGGGAAGCTGGAAATTGTAGGAATGCCCCCAATGTCACACGGGGTGAATGCCCACAGAACGACGGCAGGACGGGGGTGGGGGTGGGGGGTAGGGGGTGGGGGGGAGGTTTAATTGTCTCACTGGGGTCTGCTGAAAAGAGCAGATTCAGGACACATCCTGCACTGCCCTTCTTATCACAAATGACAGTTACTTCGCTTTTAAAGTTTGCTTTTTCTTCCTGTTCTCAGCTTAAGGGGAAGAAGCCAGGGGATTACGTAGGAGCGATGAAGCCAATTGCAACACCATTTCATGCATCCAAATCAGAAGAGGGAGGTCAGAGGTGGAGGGAGACTGGGGGACAAGGACCACTGAGGGTGGAGAGAGCACTGGGCGGCGGGCAGGAGAGCCAGGGAGAGCCTGAGATCTGCAGAGCAAGGGGAGGAGGGGCGCCTTCCTTTCTAATCCTGGCCCTTCTGCTCATGCAGACAGACACCTGCCAGAAAGCCACAAAGGCCTGACAAACGCGAGAGGCAATTATGACTCTCCCTGTGTGAGGGATGTCAGACAGATCAATCACCCGCATCACAGCGCCCGCCGTCCATTCCCAGCACCAGCTCTGGGATCGAGGGCGGCCTCGCCCTTCCCAGCCCTGTTGGGTAAAGCTGGGCTTCATGTCATGCGCTGGGTCAAAGGAAGATCGGATGTGATCTGGAAGCAGAGGCAGGACAATGGGCAGCACACACGGGCTATTAGGGGCAAGCTGGGTACACTGTGCATGGAGGGCAGGAGGCCGAGCCAGGGGAAGCGGGCGAGGTACGTGAAGCTATGGGATTATCTGGGAGTTCTCCAAACGAAAGGGAGTTACGTTCTTGCCAATCACCTGCTAACTTCCTCATCTTTCTCTCCTCATCCCCTTGGAGAGTGTGTGTTTGCACGGGAGACTGAAGGGGTAGAGATTGGAAAAAAAATTCGCGGCCTGAACTTGGTGAGGTCTGGAGGGAACTGCCCCCAAAGCAAGGAGAAATGAACCCTGGGTCCCATAAGGAGAATCTGCAACTACTGAGGGGAGGAAGACCTCCCCAGGGGCCTGACAGGGCAAACGCTCCCCCAGGTCACACTGGGCAGCTGCTCTGCTCACAGAAGGAGACACCGGGCCCACAGGGGGGCTGGTTCATTGGCCTCCTTTGCTTCCATCTGGCACCAATAGCATCACCAATGTGTAACGAGTGCCCAGCCATTTGCCCTGCACCTATGAGCCCTTCGCTAAGTCGTTGTTGAATGAATCGATGCATGAATGACTATGTCACTCTGTCACGATGGCGGCTTCCTTGCACACATATTCCTTAATCCAGCCAGACAACACGTGTTGATACAAATGGACACTAGAGAAATCCCCATAGTCTCTGCTTATTCTCCCCCTGAAACTATTAGTATTCAGGATCCCAATTCAGGCCCACGATTCCACTTCTATACATAGAATTCCGTTTCTCTCATGTCCCAATGGCCAGAAAAAGTTTCAGAAGTGGTTACCATCTCACACGAATTCGGTGAACAAAGCATTGATACAGTAAATGTTCCTCCCTGGCTCTTCACTGTTCCACCCAATCATAGTCCCCATCCTCAGTTTAAGAGAGATCATTGAGGAGAAAACAATTAAATGTCATTTCAGCATCACCAAATCCTTTTCTCCTGTCTCAGGATTTTTCCCATTATAGAATGAAACATGAGCATTCTTTTTAAAAATTCTCCCTCTTCCGGCATCTCTCTCTCATCCTTCTTCCTCTTCTCCCTCACCCTGGCCTCACTACTCCTGATTTTCTTCTCCTTTCCCTCTGGGCCTCTCTTCCCAACTCCTCCTGCTCTGCCTGACCCGCTCCTTTCTGCCCAGCTCAGGGCTCATCTTACCAAAGAGTGTGATGCTGGCATTGGTGTGGCCGAGCCTGTTGGAGGCGACACACGTGTAGTTCCCATAGTCGTGCTCTGAGACATTGAAGAAGATGAGCTTCGAGAGGAAGGGTCTGTTTTCCACTTTCACCCCCTTCTTTCCTTCAGCCAGCCTGCGACGAAGGAGAGAGACAAACAAAAGAGACGGTTATACTTTTCTCACAGGAAGTGGACTCTGGAATTAGTGATCATCTCATCCCGCCTTCTGACATTATGCCCACCTTCCCCCCTCAACGACACAGCAAGTTCACGCACAATGACTGTGATTTATGTCTCTATTTTCTGTAGGTGCCTGGAGGCCCATGTGGCACTGTGAAGACATCTAACACCTCTCAAGGCAGGTGCCTCCAAAATACACACTGTCCCAACTGCGTGACATTCACGGAGCGAGTGCTCAGAAGTATGGACTTAATTGACGTCGATGATAATGGAAATGGAAATGGTGATGGTGATGACGACAACCATGAAAATGAACAACTCAAACTTCAAAGAGAAGGACAACCTGAGGGGTTTGAAGAAAATAAACAAACAAAACACCCACAATGCTCTTCAAGCACCTGGGCAATAAATTCTTCCCCTGAGAGTCTGAGGCATTCTGCACATAATACCTGACTGTGGACTGTGAATGGGAAACAAGAACCAGGGATCATTCTGAATCCCTGGGCTCTGGAGGCCTGAGAGAGGCGATGTGCAGAGTATCCTAGCAATTGGTCTGGGAGGGATTAGAGACGCCCGAGGATATGACCCCACAGAGCCGGGACAGTCTCTGGGACAACCCGCCCTGGCAGTCCCATATGCCGCAGGGCTCATGCTGGTGGTGGGGGCCACGACAGAAGTGCCACAGGTAGCTAGTGAGGAAAGCAGTTAGACACACTTGTGAGAGCCATGGATTCTATTACTGGGTAGAGGAAGAGGGTGAGGAGAAAGCTGTTGAAGGGGTGGGTGAGGCCCTATCTTCCACTGTAGGGGTCGCTAGCAGCAATTCCTATTGCGATGGCATGTCTACACAGAAATCACAAGACCAACCCTCTTCTTTTGAAAAATTCTGGAATGTTCTTTTTCAGAGAATGGGCATTAAGCTAACATGTCCCTTTCCCTGAAATGACCTGTCTGCCCAGCCTGGAAGCTGAGTCTGTGTTTTGGGGAAAATGAATACTTGTGGGGGGAACAAATCCTTCTGCGTGGAGGATCTCGGGGAACCTGGTCGCACACTTCAGTGCCTGTTGAGAGTCTGGCTGGGGCAGGATGCGGGCAGAGTAAACAATGTCAAGATGAACACATCTGGGAACAGGCTCTGGGGACATGAATTAGGGCAAATAGCTGGCATCAGAGTCATCACGCTGAGAAAGACAATATTCTGGCGGAAATAGAAAGTGGAGCGCAGCAAGACAATGATGAGAAAGCGCGTTGTAAACTGGAAAATGTTATTCAATCTGATCTATTTCTATGGAGTTGGGCATGGAGAGCTCCCGCCTGTCCCTGGTCACAGCAGGGCTGGCACAGAGGACAGCGGCTCTGTCATTATCTGAAGGTGTTATCTCCGTAGGACCCCAGGATGCCTCTCTCCTCTGCCAGACCCACAGCACCAGTGACCACAGAGAAGCCGGGTCTGGCTTCAGTTCCCACCCAGCATCTGTCCCCAGGGGAGTCGGGGGTTAGCTGGAGGGACTCGCCTTGCTTTTCATGATGTCGATTCTCCCCGGGGAGCCTTTCTTTCTAGGGGCAGTGAACTGGCCTGAGCCCATGAACTTCATTAAAATGTGAGCACTGTCCCCATGGAATGAGGAGTCCGGCTGTGCAGCCAGACACCAGTTCCAGTTCCAGCTTGCTATGTCGATATTGATCCTCTAGGGCAGTGGTTCTCAACCCCTTTGGCGGTTGAACGACCCTTTCACAGGGGTCACCTAAGACCATCCTGCATATCAGATATTTACATTACAATTCATAACAGCAACATTACAGTGATGAAGTAGCAACGAAAATAATTTTATGGCTGGGTCACAACATGAGGAATTGTATTTAAAGGGCCAGAAGGTTGAGAACCGCTGCTCTAGGGGGTGCTGTGCAAAGAAGGTGCTGAGGCCCACCCATCAGGAGGCTTCTGAGAGCTGCTCTAGCTTACGGACCCCCTTTGCCAGTTGGATGCCATTCCTGGGCTGGGGACAAAGAAGGCTTCACCTCATAACCAGGCTGAGAGTTAGATGTCAGCGCTGTGGTGGGGAGCCACCGGCCCAAAGCAGGTTCCTCCTTGACAGCGCTGAGATGTCTTTAGCTAAAAACAGCGCCAGCAGCAGTTTGCGCCACTTTGTGGCTTCTGGGAGGCCCCACATTTCCTAGCCACGCTGCTACCAGGCTTGTTTCTTAATGCACCTGAAGGCTGGTTCCTGGCTCAGCTCCCCGAGGATGGGTGGCCCTTAGTAATGACAGCACCCCATTTTCCCTCGCTCTGATGGATGTCACGCACAATGGCCTGCAGTGACAGGTGCTTCGTCTACTCAAAAGGAGACTTTTACCCTAACATTTGAGAAAACAGCTGTCCCCATCGCACAGAGTCCCTTGATGTGCCTCAGAAGTCCACTCCTCTCCCTGGAAATGTGAACTGGGTTAGAGCTGACCTTCCCCCGGGCAGAGGTCATGTGCTCTCCCAGACCTGCCTGTCGGGGGTTCCTGCCAGCCTTGGTGGGTGGGGAGGACGGGCAGCAACAAGGGCCTTGAAGGCAGAGATGTTCTTGTTAAACTGGGTGCCCGGAGGACAGACAACTCATCCGATGGAAGAACACCGGAAATAAATAAATGAACAGCAAGTGGAAAACCGACCTGAACTAGTTAAAGGAGAGAAAAGAAGCTGCCATGAGAACACAGAGGAAGAAAGTCTCGAAGTTGCCAGAGCCACGGGCCTCTGAGTCCCTCCCGGTGATGCTCGCTGACTTCCTCCTCCGGGAAAATCCTGGAGGAGACCAGCCCTCCAATGGCGCCGCCTTCCTGCCAGCAGAGCCCCCACCCCCTCCTCACCGTGGCCACTCCTGCCTGTGGCCTGCGCTACTCTCCTCCACAGAGTTTAGGACCCTGCTTTCCCATACATTTCAATTGTATTTTTCCTCCATAAAAATAGAAAAAGAGGATGCAGCTGATTTGTTTTGGTGAAGACCTAGACAATGGAAGGCCGAGGAGCTGACCCTGAGCTCCACAGCTGCTGTGTTTTTCTGCTATTAGATATCCATATAGGAGATTCTTCAATAAGAGGGAGGGAGGGACAAGTGAAACCGAATTTCTAAGAAAGACAACATTACTCTCTTCTGCTTGATTCTGAATTCTTGGGAAAAGAGGGACGGACAGCCAGCTATTTCTTCTTATCTTATCTCTTTGTGAGATTGTTTACCTCTTTCTGCCTCTGTTCTTCCATCTAGAAAATGGGCTAGATGAATGCAGTACGAAGACTTTGTAACTGAAGTCTTTTGTACTTAAAATGGAAACACACTGTGTGTCTTTGAAAGGATTATAATCAGACAATGAATCTTATGACTAAGTGACTTGGTCCTAAACAAAAACCAAGGGTCGATTCAGAGACCTGAAGAGCTTTTGGTGTGTGACTGGTGGCTGACCCCTAAAAGAAAGACACACAAGCCCATAAAGATGTTCTATGTCACGTGGGCAACAGCTGGATCCCTCCTGGCCTGGAGTGGCTCACACCGCTCTCCTCCTCCCCATCAACCTCTTGGGTGTTTTCTTTCTCAGCTTCTCGGCCTCTGAAACGCGTTCTTCCTTCTCCGCCCCACATATACCTCGGGACTCCTTTGCATCATCCCCTCCCCATTTCTAGAAAAGTGTTCTTGCACCTTTATTGGTTGCTCCCCCACCTTAAAATGGCGATTTTCACAGCGGTGATTGTGCTGCCTGGTGGACTGAGCCTCTGACCCTGGGCTAACGTGCCATTTGCTGGCTCCTCACCATGACCATCTCCAGCAAATCACAACAAATGTCCTGGTGGTGGCTGCAGCAATGCCAGGGGAGGGAACGCTGCTCTCTCTCTTTCCTACAGTGAACCAACAGCCTGGGTACAAAGGAGGCCTAACTAGGGTCATGGACTCCTGTAAACCAATCCTGACAGCGTCTGAACCAGAACTGAGACCTCTAGCTCCAGCTAACTTCTTAGCCACTCCTAGGGTCCCGGGAGCGTTCCTAACACCTCATGAAAGCCCGGGAATGTGTTAGAAAGAGCTTCAGGTGGAACATACTATTTTCTTGGCCTATGAGAAATCCACAGGCCTTCCCATGCCCCTGGCAGCCCTTCCTGTAAGGTATTGCTTCCTTACAAAATGTTTTCCTTCAGGCTGGTTAGTCCAATGCATGGCAACGTTGGAAACATAGCAGAAATGCATTAATACCAGGAAAAGACGTGATTGGATATTGCCTCCCCTTCTAGGCAGGGGGAGTTCAGGGAGGAATTCACAGGGTTTCCCTCGCAACCACGAAACTGGAGAAGATGCCTTCTTTGGGTGCGGGGGAGAGAGGGGTGCAGGGAGGGGGTCCTCACCTTTTGTCGTCCTTGTACCACTGGAATTCTGCGGAGGGGACTGCCGAGGCTTCACACTGCAGGGTCCCCTTCTGTCCCACGGGGACGCCTGTCCCCTTCGCTTCAGAGATGTACGGTGGATCTGCAGGGAGAAGACGCCCTGTAGCATCTGAAAATGCATTCTCCAGCCAGGCCGCTGCCTCCCTCGCTGATTGTATTTTTCACTCTCTGATCTACCGCGCTCCCTTGAGCGGACAGATTCACTACACAAATTGTGCTGCAGGAACCAAACCACTCGCGGTAGTTCTAAGGAAAACCCTGGTCTGCCCAGCGTGGGATGCTGCTATCCCCTTCTGAAGGGAGGCGAGTGACCAGGTGTGCATGCAGGCCCGCTTTCTGTTTAAACTTTTTAACTTGCACAGGATGATGCCAACCCATCAACCCTCCAGTCCCTGGGTTGGCAGTCAGCAGTTTTAATCAGCCTCATAGAATTTCTGCAAACCAGGTTCTTGCCAGACTATATAACCTCATACTATTCAATTCCCATCAAAAGCGCAGTTGCAAGAATAATATTCATAGAGAATTGCCTGAAGGGTGTACGGATCAGTCATCCTTCTAGGTTCTTCTAAAATGATTCCCGCATCTACCAGACCCAGCCAGACCTATATAGTTGGCCTACTTGGAATTGAAGTTTTCCCTAACAACGCTTGACAATTCCAACAGCTTGCAGGGGAGTGCACTGGGAAGCACAGGTGTAACAAACACGCCATTCTATTTAATACAGAAACACTGTTTGCAAGTGGTTGACTACATTTCAAGGTGCTCTATTTGTAGAGACCCTAAAGATCAACTTCCCCTTGGTTTCAGGACCAGGAAAAGCAATGTTTCTCCCAAGCAACTAGCTGGCTTTTATCTGATGGACATAAACCTGAAAACAGATGATGTTTCGCCCTCGCTGGTTTGGCTCAATGGGTGGAGCATCAGCCTGTGGACTGAGGGGTCCCAGGTTCCATTCCAATCAAGGGCACATGCCCCGGTTACTGGTTCGGCAGGCAGGAGGCAGCCAATCAATGATTCTCTCTCATCATTGATATTTCTATTTCTCTCTCCCTTCCCCACTCTGACGTCAATAAAAATATATTTTTAAAAAGCCACATATGCCATTCACTCTCTAAGAGTTGGCTCTGTATCCATCTCTTTTTTGTGGCCATGCCAGCAGCCCCCCTCCCATCCACACGGGGCGAGGGTTCCATGACAACACTTACAGTTCACGGTGACCTTCACTCTCCGTACCACGGGTGCGGCCACGTCATTGGAGGCGCTGCACTCGTAGTCCCCGGACTGCTCCCTCGTGATGCCCTGGATCTCCAAGTATTCATCTTCACTCACAAAGCCCACGGCTGCCGGAGAAGGTGTGGTAGCACAGGAGAGAAAACAGCAAAAGCATGCTCTTAGAAACCAACGTAGGACCTGGTTATGTCAGCCACTTTCAAGTTCAGATTCCTCAGCACTGTGTGCATTCACACTTCCCTTCTCCTACCACAGCCACCACCACCATCTCCTTAGCTCCCCAAAGGACTAGCTGAGATGCCCGTGTTCCTACCTGGACTAAACAAATGCCTAGAGATCTGTGCCCTGCCCTGACCTTACCGAGCCCTCTGGCTCTGGGTCCAAGAAAGGCACCTGAGGTGTATCTCAATTCTTTCTGACTCCAGGTGCCATTCACACTGAACCTTGGAGTAGAGCCAATGACTACATCCCAGACCACATACCAGTATCAGTTAAAAATACCAAAATAGCTTACACACACAAACGTCACAAAAGACAGTGGGAACACTCATGAAATAAAAGTTAATTTATTTTTACAGCTAGACAGTCAACTGATAGGCAAAAGTCCATTTCCCAAACTTCAATCTACTAGAGCTCTTGGGTATAAGATCCTGCAGACAAGCCAACACCAGGGACTCCACGCTCTAATCACAAACATGGCAGAAAGGAAAGGACAAGAGGACAGGTACAGATCTCACTGCCACTTCATCATCAGCAGCATCAGTTCTGTATGGAAGAGTCATGCATAATAACACTAACCCCTTGCCTACTGGACTCCCCACCAGAGGCCTGGCCGCAAGGATCTGATGATGGAACGGCCATGACATTCAAACCTAGGAGATGCATTTCTTGTTTTTCTCCCTTGTTGCCCTCAGTTCCCGCCTCCTCAAAGAAAGACAATGGAGAACAAAAGTAACTGCTTCCTTCCCAGGGAAGTATCTGGCCTCTTCCACTCAATGAAGTAACCAGCATGATGATACATGCATTGTGCGAACTGGGATACCTTGAAGAGTATAAGGAGGTGCTATTAACACTTGGAGTGGGGGAAACGAGTTAAGTCGGCTTGCGTGAATTGCGCGTACTCCGCGGGAGCCGTCTTTAACTCGGTTCATATAGATTTGCGGTGGAGTGCGGGAAACGTGTAAACTCGGGCCGATTATAACTGCGTATTACCAAATATTTGTTTGTAATCCACCCTTTTGGTGGATGGAACAAAACCAAAAGACAGAGCCATCTTATATTTTGGCGGGAAATTCACCCCACACCGGAGTGTTAATAGTGACTATCCAGCCCAGTAGGCATGGCTCAGTGGTTAAGCTTCGACCTATGAACCAGGAGGTCATGGTTCAATTCCCAGTCAGGGCATATGCCTGGGTTGTGGGCTCGATCCCCAGTGTGGGGTGTGCAGGAGGCAGCCAATCAATGATTCTCTCTCATCATTGATGTTTCTCTCTCTCTCTCCCTTCCTATCTGAACTCAATACAGAAAGTGACAATGGGGCAGCAGCATGAGTTGAGACTGTCACTAGCAACTGAGACATCTGCCCAGACAGAATGTACACACAATCCCAACACCTCAGAGGATTGTTGGGAGTGACAAATGGAAACACACACAAACATGAAAGCATTTTGAAAGCTTCCGTGTGCTGTGCACCTGCTTTCGCTCGCACTCCTATAATCTGCCCGGAGGCGCAGGCTCCGTGAGTGGAGCTAGATTAACATGCATGGCTCCACATGAGCAGGGAGGGAAGAGAGGAGCACCTTTCTCCAGGGGATAGCACTGCCACGTAATGTCACATGCACCTGCTGCTCCAAAGCGTGAAAATAACAGCAGCGAGAAACTGATACAATACAAAGAATGATAGACGTGCTATGTAAGTTATGGTTGTATTTGTTATGTGACATGAAGGTCGCTGTTTTGTCCATGTAACAACAGTAGTGATAAGGATGGCAACAATAACAAAACAACCATCTTGTGAAAAAGGGCCACGACCTGCCCAACTCGGCCACCACTCCTTGGACATGATCCCACTGTGTCACCCTCCAGTAATACGCTCAATTAGGTTGCCATTTCCTCATGTACTCGCATGACCTAGGGAACCCACGCTACATGTGTGTGGGAACTCTTGCCTCCGCTACCTACACAAGAGCGAAAGAACAGCTTGTAGCTACTGAGACAAGCAAGACTCATAAATTTTCAGGAAGATCCAAGAACATGGTAATGAGTAGAAAACAGGGTCAAAAAGTTCAGGATGTGGAGAAGACACTCAACATTGACCCCTGGGAACTCACAGTCCCAAACCAGTTAAGAAACTTCTCTAATTGTCATGGTAGCCTTTTGTTCTTGCTTCCTAAGCATCTTCAGGGGGAAAAGTACTCGCCTTGATGTGAGGAAGGATGAGGAAAACCAGGAGCAAAGGTTTAAAGGAAGAGTTGGTGATTCCTTTCATCTTGTTGTTTATTTGCTACCAGGCCCGAGCCTACATTTGTCAGATCTTTCCCTGCCGGAATGCTATAATTACTGTGCAAAGCATCTCGGAGACCAGTGTCACACTTAATATTCCCATTAATTTTAAATGGTAGTCTTTGGTACATATGTGTGGCAATTGATGTCATATTTTAATTAGGCTTGCCCTACACCATCTGAAATTAATAATAGCTTGAATTACCAGTGTAATTTATAAATTAACAGTGCCGTAGCATTAGGAAATAAATTAGTTCTGGACAGCTGTTTCTGGACTGAGCTCCGTGTCTGAGCAGTGGTCGGACCCCAGATTCCTGGGAAGGCTGTGTACTGCACCATCAAAGCAATGAAACACAACTACATAGGTTTTTCTGGGTCTCTCGCCCTTCTCTCCACCTGGAGACCAAACATCTAATTTTATTCTACCGTCCAAATATGCTCTTGTGTGACCCCAGTAAGATATACAGGGACTCAGTTGCATGGGCTCATTATAAGGACATATAAATGGAGAAACAAGTAGGGGGATTGCAGTCATAGACACAAATGCAAGGTCACAGATATTAGGATAGTCACAATCAAGAAGTCATCACATTTTCTGTGAAGATGTGTGTAATTTTATATATTTCTATCAGGCAATCTTACGTAGTGAAGGAAGTTGGAGAGCTTACGATTTGGGGAAGGTCCAGATTTGTATTACCACGGGGAAAGAATCTACACTTAGTTCATCATGCGGAAAACAATGAGGCTTAACTTTACTATCCTGTGTTCCCCAAACCAAGTGTAGAATTACAGGAAAACCACAATGACTCCGTTACTCACCAATTTCATGCACTCTCTGACTCAACTGGGTGAGGCATGTGAAAACTAATTCATACATAGAAACATGCTTTATATATTTTAGCTTTCCTTGCCATTATTTTCACCGTTCTCCTCACATACATTGTTTCTCTACTAAAAGCAAAGATGGCAAAACCAGAGAGAAAGAGAGTCAGTATATACACAACAAATTCAACTTTGAGCCACCAGAAATGAGGTTCCTAAAGGGGATGCCTAAGACAAATAAGCCAACCAGAAAAAACTAAACCAAAATCTGAATTTATAAGAGTCAACGATTTGAGCAAAGTTTTCCTTTAAACACCATTTGTGCTCTGGTTATGAACATGTACCAGCTGACACCTTAAATTTGGACTTCTGGCTTTCAGAACTGGGAGACTAGACATTTTTATTGTGTAAGCCGCCTCCTCTTTGTTACTTTCTTGGGAACCCTAGGAAACTAATACACTCTTGTCTCTCTCCCAATTCCCAGTACCTATGGCTGTCTGAGTGTAGAGTTCATCTAGTTCATCTAGAGTTCGTCTCGTCTTTAGAATCACAAAAATATTCAACTAAAGAGCTCAAAACATCAGTGAAGGTTATATAATCCTATTGTTATTATGCTAGGGCATAGTCTGATTCAATAGGATTACCTAGAAAAATTATTTAAATATAGATTTCTAGATCCTACCATAACTACAAAATGTCCTGGAATGAGGAGTTTTAATAATTTTACCAGGAAATTCTCATAGTCAAGTTAGGAAATTAGTGATTTTGTTCAATCCCTGTATGGTTCATGTGTGCAACTACAGTTCAGAGGAGCCCGTGTCGGTTTAGTGCCAGATCGCACCAGCTCTCCAATGTCCAATCCACAGATGGTTTTTGCTATATTCACCGTCTTATTTTCCAGTGCAATTGAAACCCTCTCTCAGCAGGACTGAGTCTTGCACATCCTGGCTCTCAAGACACCAAGGGAAATAGTTTACATAATTTGAAGTTTGTTAAATTCTTATTAATAGATGGATTGATAGGCTCAGAAGTACTTAATTTAAAAAAAAAATCCAGGGACTCCATGCTGCTCTCCTAATCCTCACGTGGCTCTATTCCCACCACAACACCACTTCTGGTAATTGTTCTTAGCTTCTTAGCATAATATTTGTATTTCCTGACGTTAAACATATCATCACTATTAATGTTCTAACAGCACTGACTTTCTTTAAATGTGCAATTTAAAAAGGTTTATTGAGTGTTTAGTATAATTTATATTGGTCTTGGGGCCAATTATTTCCTCAGGGAAATGCATCCTTAATTTAAAAATGAAGATCAATGAGGAAGTATGATGCATTGAACAGAATTTGTTCTACGGCCAACTTTTCAGGAACACAGCTATTTCATTAAGTGGAATCTGACAATTCAAGCCGGGAAATGAAGCAAGTTAGAAACGTGATTCCACCTGCCCTCCAATCCCCAAAGGAGGTTCGCATTGCCCATGGGCTGAGCTCAGCAGCTTCTCTCAATAATGGACAGAAGGACCCTGTGTAAGTAATACCCTTTGGAAGAGAAAACCCCACGTTCCCGAGTTCATAGACTGGGGATTAACAGTGCTTATAACTGCAAATAATAATAGCCATGATTATCATTTTTATCGCACCTAAGAATAAGCTTGTCAGGAGAACAGCTGTCGCTACTGGAGAGGAGAGGACACAGCTGTCTGCTTGTTTAATATTTTTATGGCATTTACACCAGCTGAGATAAAAATCATGGGCCCCCAGAAACTAAAAAAAAAAAAGGACAT